TGGAGGGAACTGCTGCTGAGGTCACAGGCTAAAGCCACGCCTGGCTGACCAGAGGAATAGTATTCCAAATGCCATTCACCCATGGGAAAGGCAAGTCCCCAAAGCAGGATGCCACATCTTGGACAATTCTGTGGCAGGCCTCTACGATACCCCCCAAATTTAATCTACCTCTTCTTCCATGGTGAAATCCCCCAAATTTCAGCTGAAAATGCAGAACAAGGATCACATTTCCCAACTCTCTTGCAACTCAGCAAGTGACTAATTCTGTGCAATGAAAACAGAAAAGGAGCATCAAGCTGCAGCTTCCAGAACCTTCCTTAAAAGATAACTAGGGCTTGCTCCCTTTTGCTTCCTCTTCATCCTCACGTCTAGATCTTGGACGTGATGGCTGGAGGTTTAGCCACCATCGTGGTCCAGGAGGGCCAGACTGTTGGAGAACAGTGAGCTGGAAGGTGTGGGTCCCACTGTTGCACTCTAGTGCTGACAAGCTTCCCCTGGGCCTTCACATTATAGAGGAAGGAAGTGCTATCCCATTCAAGCCACCGTCTTTGAGGTCTCTACTGTTACAGACACTTGCATGCTGACTGGGTGGCCGGAAGCTGGCAGATCTGAGGCAGAGGAAGGGCCCTGCTTCCCCTCCTGGCTTTGAGTTATAGGAAGAGCTCTGGGAATATGGAACTGGGATGGCACTGACCACAGGTCACACACAGGTGAGGCCAGGGATGAAGAAGGGGGACAGGGACATCTGCCTGCTATCCCTAGGGATCCTCCCCATGTGCCACAGCAGTCAGGGCCACGGTCTCCTCGACAGGAGCCGACCAGCCCTGCAGCACCCACGCTCTGTCTTCCCTACAGTCTAGATTCTCCAAAACAGGGAGTCACCACAGCCCGGGGTGCTGATGGCTTGGAAAGGCTCACCACACCCCTCTCCCACACAAAAGGGGTGCCATTGAGTTGCTATAATTATCTGAAGGAACTTCAGGAGCGACTTGGCCACTTACAGCAGGCCTACAACATCTGTATGCCTCCAAGAATAGCAGCAAGCAGGGCCCAGGGGTGCTGGGGACACCTCTCCCAGGTAGGCTCTGCACCTGCCAGGGGTGGGAGGGGATCTAGCAGAGACCCACCCAGAGTGCTGGTCCCCTGGTAAGCAGGAGGGAGTTCCAGGAAGGCCCAGCCTCTGGATGCCCTGCTGGAAGAACACAAGYCAGGTTCAGCACGCACGGTAAGGAAAATCCAGGGTGCAGCTCGCGCAGCCCTGGCCCACGGGTCCTGCTGGACTAGCCTCCTGGGGACAACCGTCACAGCAGTCCATCTGGTGGCTCCTGAGCAGTGTTTGGGGTTAAGGGTTTTGAGTTCAGAACAGCCTCTGTCTGGCGCTCTTCCCACCAGATATCTGTCACCAGCCCCTCAAGTCTGAGGCTGGGTCTGGGCTACCATCAAATGTCCAGGATCCAGTCACCCCTCAACAGAACACAGGAAATGGCCGTTAGAAGCTTCTCCAGCCATTTCTGCACTGAGGTGTCTAAGACCTCATCTCCTCACTCACCAGCTCAAGCGCCTGCAATGGCTGCCCAAGAATGAGGCCCCTCACTGTACCCTCTGGCCCAACCATCAGTCTCCCTGTGCTCACCACACTGCCCCGCCTGAAGGCCCAAGTCGCTGAAGCCCCCAGCCTTGCCCACCCAAGTCCCAGCTATCATCAGCACGTGGGGAGAAAGTTCCCACAGGAACGGAGGCGCAAGCCATCTGGATTCGAGTCGCCCGAGTCTCACGTCACAGGTGGGGTTAAAAAACGAGCACCTTCGCATGAGAGAACYGCAGACAGTTTGAGACATCGCAGTCTCGCCTCCACCCCAGAGCAGACTCCCAGGACAGGGTCAGGTCTCCATCCATGAAAACAAGAACCTCACAGCCAGAGAGGAAGCTTCGAGCCCGAAGGCCACAGGCCTATCCTAACGACTGGTTTGAGGGGATCAGGCTTGGGGAGCCTTCTTGTCATGGGGGCCCTTGCTCAGCATCTGCCGGGTGACTAACTCACACAGAGGCGCAGCCAGCAGCCTGAGTGCTCACTTCCGTCTCAGGTGGGGGCCCAGGCAGTGAGCAAAGCAGACCCTGGGACAGATGAGGTTACAAGAAGAGCAACCTCACCATGAGAGGAACTGCAGACAGAGGAACTGCCCCCGAGATGCCTGGAGAGTGCAGGGGACAGACTGCCATTCTGGGCCCCTGCTGGAGTGGCCACAGGCCCCAAGACTTTTTGGAGTCAGCTTTCCCATGGGACTCAGGGAAGGCCCGGGAGCAACTGCCAAGCCCAGGGGAGGCAGCGTGCACCTTGGTCCTGGTCCACCTCCCTTGGCAATCCCACCGGCTGGGGTGGCTGCCCTCCGAGACACGCCCTGCGCAGACCTCTTCTGTCTCCGCCCCTTTACTGCAAGACCTTGCCACTTACATCCAGGCTCCACCCGGCAGCCAGTGGGCTCTCCAGAGCCCCAGCCAAACTGGAGCACTCCCCGGCTCCAGCGTCCCAATGTGACTCCTTACTGCTCAGGAGAGACCAAGTTCCAGAGCCTCGCAAGCAGGCTAGGGCTCCCTGCTGCCACCCGGTAGGTACCCTCTACCTGGTGCCGCAGCCGAGCCTCACCAGCAGGCTCCTGCTCCTTGACCACTGCACATGCGTGCGCCCCAGACCCCGGCTCGCCCTGCCCACCCCCACCCCCCACCAGTCCTGCTTTTCAACTTGTGAAAATCTGTCCTAGGCTGTGGGACACAACCCAGGGCCTGGGCCCTGCCACTACAGCAGAAGCAGAAACCAAAGCATCCCCAGGTGTCCCCATGGGCCACACAGCAAGAGAAGTCTCCACAGACACTGTCCCAGTTATCCTACCCTGGGACCTTAAGAGGAGCCACTTGTTATCCACGTTTTCCAGAACACAGGCAGGGCCAGGTCGAGTGACTTGTCCAAGACACAGAGCCAGCTGAAGCCCAGACTGGGGCCCATCTTCAGTCTGTCTCCCTCCAAAGCCCACGTTTTACTCTGAAAAAGTCCCTTGTGGCACCTTCTCTGAATCGTCCACTTCCACTGGGCCGTTCGTGGACATCAGAGGTGGCTGCAGACCTGCCATCTGCCTCCTCCAGTTGGCTGTATCATGTCAAACGCTCTTCTCTTTCCCCTTTACCCAGTGTCCAGTAAGCACGTCTTCGGGAAGAGGCTGATTCCAGAACCAATTCCCATCTTGGTTTCTATACCCACCAGGAAAGGGAAGTAAACCACTCCAGGCCCAGGGAGCGAGGCTGCTGCCGTGGTGCTGAGGCACCTGCCCACGAGGGGACCCCAGGGAGTCTCTGCAGGCTGCACACCAGGCTGTCAGTGTCAGGCGCCCAGGAACAGCCCCCAGACCCCTTCAAGGACATGGGGCTGGCACCCAGCCCTTTCCCGGAGCATGTCCTTAGAGAACTGAGGATCACCATCTCTGGGGACCAGCACCCTCTGGCCTTGGATGGGAGGCAGGAGCTAGAAGCCTGGCTAGCTGYTGGCCCAGGCTGTGTGACGTCAGTGCACCTGCCAAGCTGCCAGACCCTGCGATGGCTTGTGCCCCTCCACTCCCACCAAAGGTTCATGGGATTGGAGGCTTGGTCCCCTGGTGGTGGTTCGGAGAGGGAGGATAACCTGTAGGGCGTAGGGCCTGCAGGAGGTCCTTAGGTCACTGGGGTGTGAGCCGGTTCTCCTGTCACCCCTGGGTAATTCTTGTGAAAGAGTTCTTATGAAAGGAGCAAACCTGACCCAAATCAGCTCTTTCTGCTCCTGGTTCAAGATGTTACCATCTGCTTATTCCTGCCTGCTCCCACCATTGTTACCTACTATAAAGTGACAAAGCCAAGTTCTGGCCCTTGCCAGAATCTGTAATATGCTGGTTGGACTTTTCAGCCTCCAAAACTGAGCTAAATAAACTTCTTTACTTTYATAAAGGTAGCCTGTCTCAGATATCTTGGTTTTTTTTTTTTTTTCCAGATATCTTGTTACAGTAACAAAAAGCTAACTTACATAGCCTCCATGACTTGTGTGAAATGGGCAGGACCACTGTGCCCACCAAAGAGCACTGAAAGAGACAACAAAAGGAGGCTGCCCAACCCAAGAGCACAGGGTGCATATCCAGCAAATGCCACCCCCATAGTTCTGTGACAGTCCCCTTGCAGACAGGGTGACTCCAGCCCTGTGAACCAAACTGCGCCTGTTGGTCCCACCATAACGGGAAACAAGCAGGTCAGGGTTCAAGACAGCCATGGTACAATGGAGGTCTGTGTGGCTGGGGACAGGAGGCCGCCTCTCCTGATGCCAGGATGAATCCTTACGTAGCCCCCAAGCCCAGGCAGAATGCTTTCCCTTAAAAATTAAACAACAGTCCCAGCAGGGACCAGAGCCCAGAAGAGAGAACTAGGAAGCTGTTATGAGCACGATTCTCCAAAAGTCTCCTGCATGCGGACACACAGCTTTAAGAGGCTGTCTGGGCTTCCCTGGAGCTGCTCTGCTCCCTGAGGGGTGGGAATAGGGAGAGGGGCTCCTTGGGGACAAGAGCCTGCAGCTGGAGAAGCTCCACACCCAGGGGCAGGCTCCCACCTGCCAGCAGAGTGCACCCGTGAAGTGTGCCGCCTGCTGCCTGTCTGTGTGGTGACGAAGGCCCTTCATTTCTGTTGGAATCCTTGGTYGGGCTGCATAACTCCACTGGCCCTGGACTCCTACTCCCCGATCACAGCATGAAGTGAACCCCAAGGGTTCAGAACAGCAAACAGAAACCTCTCCCGAATAGCACCCCGAGTGAGAGCAGGGAAAGGAAGGACCTCCCCAGAATGACTGCGCCCAGGAACTCAACTGCTTCCTGCACCAAAGTGCTTAAAAAGACACAACCCCTTCCCCTCCCACGCAATGGCCACCTGTGACCACAAGGCAGGGCTGCAAGCCACGGATGCTGAGCACACGTCTGCTGAGCACACGTCTGTACCTTTCATGTAGGCCTCAATCTTGCGGATAAGTTCATAGGACTTGGAGCGGTCAAGCAGGGTCCTGATGGCAGGGAGAGGGTCCAGGACAATGGTCTCAGGGTGGGCATCAATGTATTCCTGGAAGGAAAGCAGATCCTGGTTAGAAAGCAGGCTGAGGCCACAGCAAGGAGACAGGCACAAATTCACCCCTGAGCCCTCGTGTATCCAGTGTATCCATCCTTTATCTTGTCCCTCCCCCATCACATGACTCTGGCATGACCAATCAGTGCACCCCAGCCTGGGGCTACGGGCTCAGGAGAAGAGGGATGATCCTGAGCCTGTCCAATCAGAAGCAGGCTCAGGGGGTCATGCCGGGGAATGGTAGGATAAGAATGTCCTCAGCTTTAGGAAGAAGGTGGACACATGGAGACTGGGCAGCTGTGAGCAATCACCATGGGAACTGAAGGCAAGGCCTGTTTGAGGCCTAAGCTCAGAAAATAGCTGAGGATTAGAAGAGCCACCAGGTCTGGTCAAGTTGTCTAACCCCTGGATAAAGCCTCACCTGAAGCCAGATCTGATCCCTGTGCTGATTTGCTCCACAGGAGAGCCAGCCCAGCACTGAGACGGGGGCCAGAGGGAAAGAGGAAGGATGCTGGGGGCATGAGAAACTCTGTGGGAAGGAGTGATGGACAGAAGTGTCCCAGATGGCTACTCAACACTCAGGAACTTCCCTTCAATACCTACTGCCTTTGTGGTGGCACTATGGAAACGAAAGAATAACTGATAAAAGCCTGTTCCTCTCTGGCTCTTTAGACCCTTTGATTCTGAAGACAACATCATGGAATGCGGGAGAGAAGGCAAGGGTCTTGGAAAAGCCTGGCCTGGAGGAAGTCCATTCCCCCTGTGGCGGGTTGTGTTCTGCTCCTACCCCTCTGCGTCCTGTGCGTGGGGCCTTGTTTGGAAACAGTCTCCAGATGTGGTAGCTTAGGAAGTGGTCCCACTGCACATGGGTGGGCCTGATCGCCGACTTCCTTATAAATGAGACAGAGATCGGGACACAGGGAAAGGCCACACGAAGACACACAGCTCAAGTGTTGTGGGCACATGATAAGGAGTGCCCTTGAGCACCAGGAGCACAGCGAGGGGTGGACAGGTGCCCCTCAGAGCCTCGGGAACAACAGCTGCTAACCCCTGGACCAGGCTTCAGGCTTCCCGAGCCAGAAGGCCCCTAGCTCACGGTACTTGGCTAGACCACGCCAGCTCACTTTGTCCCCTCGGGGTTCTCCCCACAAAGCCAGCACACCCCCTGGAGGGTCAGTGAAGGTCAGCAGGGAGCACTACYCAAGTCTTCTTTACTGGTAAATCTTTATTTTTTAAAATATTTTTTTAGTTGTAGGTAGACACAATATCTTTATTTTATTTATTTATTTTTTTATGTGGTGCTGAGGATCGAACCCAGGGCCTCACACGTGCACATGGTAGGTGCTCTACCACTGAGCCACAACCCCGGCCCTTCTGGTAAATCTTACAAATGAAAAGCAAGATGCATTTGGGATTTTTTTCCCCATGAACCTATTTTGGTTTCTAATAATCTTTTTGAGAGCACCTGACTCAAAAGCAGGTCCATACCAACTTCCTGAGTGTTCCACACCAGGGCGTGTGGTTTACAGGCTCTTTTCTCTGGATGCTACAATTCCCCCAGGCCCTGGGTGGTGGCCAGGGCACTGCTGGGAGGCCTGGGTTCCCCTCGGCAAACCCGTGCTGTGGACCTACACGCAGGACACAAGCAGCCCCACTGCTTCCCCTCCTTGAAGACAAAACCGTCAGCAGGTCAACTGGGCCAGCTGCCAGCTGCTCAGGCCAAGTGGGCCAGGCAGCTTACGTGGGATGCCCACGTCCCACCAACATGGGTTCAGGGACAAGCTGAGCAGCGGCCTAAGGAGGGATTATCTAGAGCTGCCCTCAAGCCTCCCCCCCGACAGCCTCCTCCTCACCCAAGAGCATGCCGAGGAGCCCCCACCTCTCCTCTGGGGCGTCTGCCGGCACCTACCCTCTGGGCACCATTCCTTCACCAGTGTGCTCTTGCAAACCAGGTCTCGGCTTCCACCAGAGCTTGTCCCTCCGGAGACACACCTCATGAGACCACAGCCACACACTAATGTGAAAAGGCTGCCCCTCAGCCAGCTGGCAGTGCCGGCTCTGCTGGGCCTCACGCAGGCTGCAGCCTTCCACACTTGGTGCCCACTGCTCTGTGATCCTGGCCAACAAGGTCGTGCTCTGGGCCAGGGCCTGGAAGCACCCAGCTCCCGCCCCTACTCCCCACGAGCCAGGCAGAGCCTGTGCCAAACGAAGAGCACATGGCCAGCAGCAAGAGACCCAGGCTCCCAGTGTCGTCCACCTCGGTGCACCTCTGGGCAGGTGCTGGGCTCCTCAGGGCCTCTATTTCCTCACAGTGACTTAAGAAGTTACTGAAGATGACCGCGGAGGTCCTCATAAAGACAAAATTGGAGCCAGGTGAGTCTCCCACTAGAGGAACCCCAGGAGCAAGGTCTGGGGTTCCTCTAGTTCCTCTGAGGCTGCGGGCTGCTCTGGAGTGGGAGGGACAGCCACTTGCGGGAGGCATCGGKGTGACAGCAGGGTTACACACATACTCTCTCCCCTCCTTCAGTATCAGAGGCTCACCATGCTGGGTCAGCCTRGTCCTCCCCCGGCAACCCAGGCTGCTAAGAACAACTGGCGTGCTCCCCCTCCCCCACAAAGGGCCCAAGAGGAGGATCCGCCAGTTGCTGAGAAACAGCACTGACGTTGGTCCCACTTTATGCACCAGGGTGGTGACCTTTCAAGATTCAAGAGAACCCAGCATGTGAGTTTAAGACAAACTCAGTGGGGAAAAGGGTCATGAGAAACCAGAAGGAAAAATGTCTGCCAAGCAAGTGCCCGTAAGCTCCGGAACTTGCACGAATGCATCAGGATGACAGTCGCTCCAGCACCGCCTCTCCCGGGAGGACACAGAGGGAGGACACAGAGCGGGCGAGGGGCTTTGTCAATAACCTGCCAGCCACAAGTGGAGTTTCTCCCAGGCTTTTCAGTTTATCTATTGTACTGAAGGCCTCATGCATTTTTCACAAGTCTCTTGGAATTACCAAACAAATTGCTGGAAGAAAAGGCCCAAACCGTCTCCATAGCAAACGGCAAACATGCTCCCCGAGGGCCAGCCTGCCAAGGAATACCCAGAGCGGGCTCCTGGAAGCGGAAGTGCAGGGCCTCACACAGGCCCACACAGTCTGGCCCGCGGCACCAGGAGGGGTGGTGAAGGGACTGCTGCAGGGACGAGGGGGCAGAGATGAGCCAGGTGCCCTCCCAGGCCCAAGCTCCCAGGGGCCTGCAAGACGATGCCAACATGGGCATCAGGGCTCTGTGGGGCTAGAGGGGTCAAGCTTCTCCTCTGAGAATCTAAGCCAAATAAGGGCTGAGAGGAGCATCAGAGATACCCTTTCCTCTGTGGTCCTTGCAGGCAGGAAGTGAGGAAGGTGTGAGATGCAGGCTTTGTTCTCATCTAGAAGATGATGCTGTCAGAAGTCCCACCCCTGCCGCTGTCTGTCTGGGAACAAGATCCTGGAGTGAAGTCTCTGAAATGCCTTAGGTAAGCCTGAGTCTGAATAAAGCCATCACGGGGAGTACTGTGGGTGTTGAGGATTCACGAACGTGGAAGGAGTGGGTGGATACAGAGAAGGATTCTCGTGGTTCTGTAACACACAAATTCTTAGAGTCACACCTAAGGTCTTGGGCCAGCCTGCCCTGCCCTGCCCTGCCCAGCAGATGGAAGAGCAGGCCAGCTCTGACCTTGGGACAGGAAACCCGGCTGTCCTGGCCTGTGCTAACCTCTTGCTTATGCCTGGAACACACACAATCCCAGACCCAAGAAGCCCAGCCTGTGCCCTCCAGGGACAGTGTGGCCAGGCAGGGGAGTCCACCAACCCACCATACCACCAAGTCTACCACACAGGCAGGAGGGGTCACCCGCTCCTCCCAGAGGCAGGAGAGGTCCTCACTGGGGGTGTTTGCCCTCTGGATTCTCAGGAGGGGCAGGGGGTAGAGGGAGAAAGAAGCAGGTGAGTGCAGAGGGAAGGAGCCTGAACCCAAGCTGGGGTCTAAACTGCGGCGTGGCCCTAGAATAGCTTGCAGCTCGCTCTCTCCTCACCCACGTGACTCCTTTCTAAAATGAAGTCTGCAAAAACTGGGCAAGGGGCAACTAGGTCCTCCCCTTCTCCTATCCCCCACCCCTGGTTGTGCCAGACTGGATGTGAACACCAGCACTATCTTTCTAGAAGGAACAGGAGGCAGCTATTAAGATGGGAAGCACAAAAGAATAATAATCATGGTAAAAATAATCATAGTGATCACCAGGGACAACTTAAAAACAAACGAGCTGGCGCTTATGCTGGGCTTGCTATAGGCACCATGCTGGATGAAATGGTTTTTGAGCACCACTTCTTTTAATATAAAAGATTAATCCTAAGATTAAGAATTAAAACTATAAAACTCTTAGAAGAAAACAATGGCAAAGATCTTTGGGACCTTGAAGTAAACAGCCAGAGAAGGAAAGGCTGGACAACTAGACATCACCAGAACAGAGACTCCGTGAGTCAAAGGCCTGGCATTGAGCAGCAGGACCTGTATGCGGCCTTGCCTGGCAGAGATGCCCAGGCACTGACCCGGCCGGGTGCTGGGAGGAACCCTGGGCACACCCTGAAGCCCCTACAGGTCTTGAAGCACCTCACAGGCTTGTGGGCCCCTCGACAGCACTGAGAGAGTGGCAGGACTCTCCCGTCTCCCTCAGGACCCTGACAGCTGGTTTGGTCAGGTTTTGGTCAGAGACAAGGTCCCCAACTGTGGTTCTGCTGGGCCCAAACTCCYGCTCCCCCTCACCAGTGTCCAGTTCCACCTTCCACTAATGATCCTGGAGCAGAAGGCCTGCCCACGGGGCTCGGGAGACCTCCATCCAGGGCTGGGAAGCTCTCATCTGGGGAAAGGGGCAGCTGGGAGGTAGGAAAGGGGCCACCCGCTTCTCTCGGAGAGGGGAAGTGCTGCCAAGAGCAGACAGGCCAAGGAGCCGGGGCCACCAGGCCTCTCACCTT